CAGACCAGCTGTTGTGCCCACAAGGGTAGGGGAGAGGGAGAAGTCTCCCATGAGAATAACTCCAGCCCTCCGCAGGCCCTAATCCAGAGGCCTCCCACAACAGTGAACATGACCTTTGTGTTGAGGCTTCCAGCACGGGTGATGGCTCAGAAGAGCCAATGCTACACAGAGAAGTGAAGCCCTTGTACTTCCAAACCAGGTGGCCTTAACTGCCTATTATACATCACATCACTATAAAAATTTTTATCAAGGAGAGATATGGAGGGAGTAGGAATAGAAGAAAGAAAACTTGCCCCAATTCCACGTCTGGCCATCTTTTGCTAAGGCTTTTGGAATTTTAGCTTTATATCTCTCCAGAGACAAATGAGGCTTTTTAAAGTCTGATATTATAAAAGATGATTTCTTGGTAACCACAGGACTTATGTTCAGCTGTCATCATGGCCTCCCAAACTCTTAAGGACATGTGGGGTACTGCAGTTGGGGGTAACCATGAGATGATGCAAATGGTTAGGAGGACACAACTGTAGCTGATAAACTATGCCCAGAGCGGCTTGGAATGGGGTTTGTGGGGACAGAGGCAGGATGGTGACTAGAAACTTTCCTGAGAGTCTAATCAGGGACAAAGGAAGCCAGACTCATCGTTTACATCAACACATGCATCCTACAGGAGATCAGAAAGGGATTTAAAGAGCTGGAGAAGGATAATGATATCAGACTTTGCTGGTGCAGACGCCACATTGCACAGCAAAGCCAGGCTCAAGAGGTCTTAGGGAAGAAAGACTCTGCACAGATGGGAGGAAAGTTTGTGAGGTGCTACCTGAATTCAGTGATTACATGGAGCCTGATCTTAAAAAGGAGCCACTTCTTATGATCAAGAGTGAGGAGGCAGAGAAAGCAGCTGGCTGTAAGACCCTGTCCTGAGGAAGACTGGTTCTCAGACCTCAGGAGTCCTTCAGTCCTCTCCCCTTGGCAAAGGTATGACTGAGACTTCTGGAGCTGTGAGAGGCCAATATAGGTGGAGGCAAGAAAGATCAGCCCACTGCTGTCCCTCATCCTCCCTATCTCACTCCTTCCTACTCTGAAAGATAAAGGGAAAGATGCAGGAAGCTCTTCGCTGTATGGGTCAAAAGAAAGGCTCAGGGCACAGGAACATGCGTTGCATGGAGAAACCACTCCTGGTTCACAGAGTGGCCTCCTTGAGAAGGAGAGCCTGACTCCTGCCTGCCTGGCAGAAAATGCCCAATGGCAGGTCCACTTGACCAAGAGTAACAGAGGCTGGAATACTGAAGGCAGCAAGTCAGGGATGTGCGCTGGTTTAAACAGCTCAAGAAAAGATAATGATGTAAGAGCTTGGACGGATGCTGAGGAAGGGATAAGTTTAACCAAGGAGCCATAGCTGTGACTAGATATTGGCACGGCGCTAACACTGTGGAAGCCTGTGCTGGTGGAAGTTAGTTCGGCAGCAGAAGAGCCAAGAGGCAAAACCCAGGCCCTTCCCTATATAGAGTCCAGGCCAATTCAGGCATAGCATGAAAGGAGATCCTTGGAGAGAGGCATGTTCCAGAAAACTATAATTTTTTTGAGGAGCTAAGGGATTGAACCCAGGGCCTTGGTCATGCTAGGCCAGAGCTTTATCACTGAGCTACATCCTCAGCCCCCAAACACCACATTCTTAGAGTCCTAGAGCCACAGAAGGACCAGGCTCCACCAGGCAGCCACTGACTTACTTGCACTGGAAGGCAGGCATTCTGTCCCACAGGCTGGTGAAGGCCAGAGACACAGTGTGGGAGGGAGCTGCAGTTCTGAAGGTCATAAATGTCCTGACTGACACCCTCTCACTCACTTCTATGAACTGACTGCTGTCCACAGCCTGCCCAAAATATATTCAGACTTTCTAGCCACCATTTACTCGCCCACCCTATGGGCTGTCATAATTTGTGCCAAATAAACATGCAAACATGGATTTCACTTACTTGAATGAATCTATCTCCAAACAGATGTGAAGACAAAATACAAGCTCTGGGGATTTTTATACATACTCACAAGATGGCACTAACTCCAAAAAAACAACATATGGGCCAACCTGCATAAAAGGGCATCTGCCTGGAGCCTAGACAGGCATGAGATTGAGTGGGCTCTTTAAAGGCTGGGGCAGAAATGAAGGTGGTCAGCTTCTGAATCAGGAAACTTGACCCCTGTCTACTTAGTATCTGCTGTGAAGATGCTGAGCACATAGCACCCTGGGTGGGAGAGGGATGATGGCTGAAGGGTAACAAAGATGATAGCAAGTCATCCCTTGCCCTAAGGACTGGTAAAGGAGAAGGTAAGGCAGGACCTGTATCCTCAAAGCCTAGGACAGCATCATCAGAAAGCACAAAATGCCATAGAGGCCAAAAGAAAGGTCACATCCAGTACTGAGAAATCAGAAAAGCTTCATTCCTGGTAGGGCTGGAAGGTGGGGGAATGACTAACAAAGTCAAATGGCCCATATGTTTGATGACCTTGTTCCAAGGTCAAATCACAAGCCTGAGATTCTATTTCATTTGCCAAGTCAGGATTGGTGGGTCTTTCCCTCTCTCGGTTCCTTGGAAAAGCAGGTCTCAGTAAAAGCCACATACTATTATTATCCTCAGGAGTAAAGCCAAAAACAGAGTTCTGCGATTCCCACCATCGCTCTGAGCTAAGCCCAAGTATGCACAGCAATGGGCTCTGGCAAAGAGTGAGGACCAACCAATCCCCAGAGTTCTAGTGGGAAAGATTTTAATTGGATGGCCCTAGTTTTGAGGGGCCCCAAGAGTACCCACCATTTGACAGTTGTCAGACCAGCTTACTACAGAGCCCCACAGGGGCTCATCAGGAGGTTTCTGAAGCTGCAACAAAATTACATGAGAGGTAGACCTGTCCCCTCAAAGTCCTCACGTTCCTTCAAAGCCATGCCATACCCTGACTTCTCTATTCCATGCCTTCTGGGATTCTGTCAACCAGATTTCATCATTGCCACCCATACCATACCTGCATTGACCAGTCTGGTCCTGTACTCCAGAAGTTCGTGTGCGTGCTGTGGTTTCCCACACGAGCCCTGAACCTCCTGAAAGTAGCCAGCAGAGCAGGTTGCACATGGAAAATGTCTAATAAGTGCTGCTTGGTTCAACACTACAACCTTTCCCCTTTCTCTTTGCAAGCAACCAAGAACCCTTTCTGAAGTCAACTTGTGACAAGAGTGCTTTGAAGATCTAGGTAAGGTTTTTTTTTTTTGGTACTAGGCAGTACCAGAGAGTAAGGACAGATTTCTTGGGGGCTGCGAGAAATGGACTCTCAGTCCAGCACCACAGGGGAAGGAAGACTTAAGGCTCTTTTTCTCAGGCTGTGACAAGATATCTCAAGAGCCCAGAGGTGATCGTATTTTCTTCCAGCAGTTGCAGCTCCAGTTCAGCCCTTCTCACCCAGCAAGGCATCCCCATCATCCATGGTTATGGTCATCGGGGCTAACCTTTGGATGAAGCAGAATGGCCTGCAGGACTTGAAGGGCCAAGAAGGCTGCTTTGCAATGTCTGCCCCTTTGTCCGGAACATGTTTAAAAGAATCTAAAAAGGACACGCAAGACTGTGTTTGGAAAGATTCTGTGATGGAAATCTAAAACCCAGAACTGAAAGAAAATCTCACCTGTAACCACAAAGAGATTCAGTCTGACTCAGAGGATTGGAAACTGGTGTCCAAAACACTCCGACTGGTGGGCCAGGAAACTTCTGCACCTCCCACCAGGCTGTGGGGCCTTCAACTGTCTTCCTCAGAGGGAGGAGGGTATGAAACCAGCCCAGGATACAGCACCTCAGCCCTCACTCCTGCAGCCTAATGGGATCCTTATTTGCAGCCAGCAAGAAGGACCTGACTTTACTGACATAAAACAAAGGGCGTCTTTGAACTTCCCAAGCATATCTAAAGTTGTGTTCCCAACCTACTTGGCTCTTTCTGATCACCCTCCCCCCATCATACTGCACCCACCCTGGCTTTTCTATTTGTTTCTTTCTTTACAAAATAAATGCTCTGGAATGACCAGGGAATGAGCACATAGACTCTAGCCAGAAATGACTCAAGATGCAGCTACAGGATGCATCAGAAGAGCAAGGCTCTAGGGGATAGAGAGACCCAAGTCCCTGATTCAGACTGGGTCTGGGTCCTTGTCTGTGAAGCAAGGTGAGAATCCCCACCTTGGAACTATGACAAAAGTCTTCCTACACAAACAGATTCCTCCCTCCCCCAAATTTAGCAGCCTGAAACTCTCCTGACAATCTAGAGCCAGTTCTCTGCCTCAGAGGTAACTGAAAGTAACCTGTTGCCAGCTGGGCATGGCAAATCTGAAAAAGCACTGGGCTGAGTTCAAGGAATCACTCTGCTCCCTTTTTATGGTCCTTATGCAATTCGGATCTACCAGACAGGCTATTCTCTAAGCTAGATTCCAGCAACAGCATCCCTGAGCTAGCTTCCTCTTCAACTCTTAAGTACTTTGAACATTAACTCTGAATTAGCTATTTGGTCATCACCCTGAGGAGGCAGGCAGCATCTGATGCAGCCATTCCCCGCCCCCACCCTTCCCCATGAGCCACCTCCCAGCCTTGTTTCTACTGGCCAAGACCTGGGAATTTCTGTGCTGAACTATCTGTACGAATCACTTCCACTTTTGCCACTGTGAATGACAGAGTTCTCAGAGCAAGGATGGCTGATTAATAATGACAAGTAATGTCTGCTGGACATATCCCAAGCACTACAAATGCCTTAAACCTACCTCTCGTCATGTTGAATCTTCATCACAACCCTATAGAGTAAGGATCACTGTTGCCCATTTTACAGATGTAGAACCCAAGGCTTATTGGCATGCAAGGACTGGCCCTAGGTCACACAGCTCTTACAGATGGCACTGGGACACAAAACCAACTCTGCCTCCCCCCTCAGCAAAAGCCAGCAGGCTCTAAGGAGTTAGAGGGAAGCAATACTTAACTTACCTGATAGGAAAGGCCATCCTTCCGGGGGCTGAGGCCAATTTCCTCCATGGATGGGGTATTCATCATCACCTCAGTCATCTTAGCCGATCTCAGATAGTCAGGGCTGCCAAGAAACCAGACCAAAAGTCAACACACAGACTTTCACATTCCTCCTTTCAGGGCCTTTGTGGTCTTAGACCAGGGGACTGTCTGGAGACAGGAAGAGAGGTGCTCAAAGCAGAACTCTCAGCAAAACAAGCTCACATCCGAAGGAAGCACCAAGTCCACAGCACCAAGACTCCCACCACCAACAAAGCCCATTGTCTGCAAACCTCCTCTTCCCTCCTCTCCTGTACACTAAGGTGCCTTCCCAGACAGGGCAATCCTGGATTTTCTTTTAAATGACAGAACTAGGAACGAAACCACAATGGCAGGAAGCTGAGCCCAAGTGTCTATATCAAAACCAATTTATCCAGGTCTCCCTTCACCCCTCTACCTAAGAACAAAAGTAATCCTCAAATAATTTCCAAAGAAGAAATACGTGTTATTATTACATAATAACAATAGCAGGCCAGCCTCAGGGAGACAAAGTCCAATCAGGCTGCCTTCCTAAATGTCTCTGCCTGGTGCTCTGTTTGGCAAAATGTCCCACTTAAAGCCCCAAGGGGTCAGCTTTTCTGCAAGCTTCACATCTGCCATCCAACCCCCTTCTCTAGCCCCAGCTGCAGCAGCTGCAAGCTCACAGCTTGAAAAACATCCCCTGGATTAAAAGCCTTAAGGATACCCAGACTCTTGATTGCAAAGGAAATTTCCAGAGGGGCCAAGTTGGCCCACCAATGGCTGACATGTGAAAGTGCTTTGTACTCTAAGCAGGATACAAACGTTCCATTATCCTTGCACAAGCCATGGACACACACCGGGTCCCCTATGCATAGTGCCAAATACGAATACCGAATCCAGGTACTGGCTACACAACACCCAGTATTTTCACCATAATGTCTGCACACATGGTTTTAAAAAGAAAAAGCTGAAGCAGGCTTTAGGGAGACTGTATCTAAGGAAACAGGGAGGCTAAACTTCTTTTCTTTTTTTGGCGGGGGGGGGGGGGGGGGGGGGGGGGGGGGAGGTGGGGCTATTACATAGACATGGCAGTGGATTTGGAAACAGAAGCAATAGGTTCTGGTGTAGGCTCTGCCATTCAAGAGCTGTAGGAACGTGAATAAGTCTGTGTGAGCCACAGGTGCCCTTTTTGTTACTAAGATGCTAATAATGCATATCTCATAGTTATATTAAGGGCTAATGTTAAGGACAAAGTCTGGGGGAACACGTGTTGCAGGTTATCAAGTGCTAATTAATAAAATAATCCTAAACCTTCATTTCTTGAGGTCTACTATCCCTGAGCGGCCCTAACAGCCACTTGCTAAATCTTGAAGGGCCAGGGGCACAAAGCCTCCACCAGCCTTCCAAGCTTCACCTACAAGGCACTTGGCTGCCTGCACACCACAGAGGAGGGCAAGTGGGTACACCCGGAAGAGAGGGGTACACAAGCCTCAGGGGCGGGGAAATTTTTACTTTATTTTGAGAGTTCAGGCCCCTCTCTACACAGAGCCAAGTTGGGATGGGATGGGGAGACTAAGAAGATGCTGGGCTCGAGGGTCAGGAGCTGGAACTTCCAAAGGCAATTTCCTCTTGGGTTCTGGAAAGGCTGCCACCAAACCCGAAAGAAGAGGGCCAGAGGAGCATCCAAGGGGCTCTAGCCAGGCGTTCTGTTGTCGCTTGGGCTGTGGCGCGGGCCTAAAAAGTTGAAGCAAGAAGCATGAACTTTCTAGTTGCTGGTCTAGGCAGGACTGCGCCTAGGCTGGAGCCCGCTTTCCCCGGGCTCAGTGTCTGTTCCCAACCCGGGCTGGGCTATCCATGCCCGCTTCTAAGAGTATGTTTTGGGGGCCGGGGGCGCTACCCCCACCCCGCCGCTCCTCCTCTATCCCAGGGCAGGAAGGAAGACGCGGCCGGGGCGCACGTCCTAGCAGCCTCTTTCTGCATCCTTCCCGGCCACAATCTCCAGCTGGGGGCATATTTCTGCCACCTCCCGCCCTGCTCTGGTTCCTTCCAGCCCCGACTCCCCACAAAGGCGAGTCGGATTTTAGGGGCTATGGAGGGAGCAGGAGTCGAGAGGGTGCAGCCTGAGCCCTGCTGCTTGTGGCTTACGTGTGGGGAGAGCGTTTCCCCCCCGCCCCGCCCCGAGCTCTGCAAACGCCGCGGCTGCACCAGCTCAACCCCGCTGCAGCCGGGCTCGACGTCGAGACTTGCATGCAAACAAAAAAGAAAAAGAGGAGGGGCCGGGGAGAGCAGGAGCCCCCTGAGTTGGGCAGGACGCGCGCTTCCTGCAGCCCTGCGCATAGGGCTTTAATTATGGGGGTTCAGGCAGGACCCCTGGCTCTCCCTACCCACCACTACCATATACACACCCTCCAACCGTCATTTAAGTAAAGGTTCCGAGTTCACTTCCTTTGTCTGGATGCTCTCTGCACCACCTCCCCAACCCCCACCTTTGCAACCTTGACGTTGACTCCTGCAGGGGCTCAAGCGGCGGGTTAGCGCCGGGCGTCGGTGCCACCGGCTGCCCTCGCATCCAGAGCTGGCGCTCGGGTCCCGAAGCCACAGCTGCTAAGCCGGCGCCCGCCGCAGCCTCAGGATACTCACCAGTGAATGGGGAAATATACAGACATGAAGTCCTAGGGGAGGCTGACCCACGCCCTTGTGATTTAAAAATGGTCACTGCGTCCCGAGTGAGGATGACACAGGCGCAGACGAGCGCGGCTGGCAGCCTAGCGCGGGCACTGGGCGTTCGCCGGTCCGCCTTCCCGAGACAGCCCCGCTGCCAGCGGCGTCGGCAGTGCAGACGGAACTCCTCGCTCTCCACCGAGCTCCGAGTCCCACAAAGAGCCGGGGAAGCAGTATTTATAGGGGCGGGGGCGGGGCTTGGCCTCGAGAAGCCCGCCCCCCCCGCCCACTCCTGGAATAACGTCACCAAAATCATGAATGGCTTCAGTGCTCGCAGCTCCGGCGGGCGGAGGCTCCGGGGCGTGCTGAGCTCTGCTCCCCCGGGGCCGCGTTTCACTGCAGCTGCGAGTCAGTCCCCCTCCTCACGACTCACACTCACGCAACCCTTCTGGAGTTCAATGTCAAAGCCGCTCCGTGTTCACAGAGCTATTGGTGTCCGCGGCTTTCTTCTTGCGCACACCCGGGGACACCAAGGCTGCGGCAGTAGGCGTGAGGAGGGCGCAGGGAGCCCGCGCGCGACGTGACCGCTCCGCAGCGGGGCTGCGCCCTGGGAGAGCGCTATTCCTCCAACCCTGCCCGCCTGGCGTCGCGCCCGCCTTGGCACTCAGCATTGTCCCCAGCCTACACCGCGGGACCCCTGTTTATCTGTCATCCCTCAAACTAGGCCTCTCCCTGGAATCGTTGCCCACTGCACGGCGATCGCGGCATGTCCCTTCCATTCCGAGCTAGCTGCGCAGAAACCCGAGCACAGCTAAAAAAGAAGCTATGGGAAGGTTGGAGGGACGCGGAGCTGGGGATACCATGCGCCCGCGGGGCTTGCAAAGGGAAGTGTGCGGCCGAGGTTGTGGAGGGGTTTCTTTGTGGGAGAAAGGATGTGGTGCGTCTGAGGGTTTTTCCATTGGACATGACACACACACACACACACACACACACACACACACGTTGTGGGGGTAAGGAGTGAGGGTGGGGGGCGTGCAAACACACCCCACTAAACCTTAGCTGTCACTCTGTGATAGCCGAGAGAGCTTCAGGGTAACGCCTCCCACACTGCCCAGGAACTGCAGCTTTGTCCAAGCTAAGCTGCACAGCCTCTGAGCCAGGATAATGGGAGTCTCACTGGGAACCCAGCGCTGCCCCTCTGTGGCCTCTGCTTCAATTACTACTGTAAAATAGTTTCATAACCTTGACCTATATGTATAAAGGAACAGAGGGTAGGGGACTCTCAAAAACTAAGCTAAATTAAATATGCTTAGAAGTAACTCAGTTCTTTGAAAGAAAGTCAGTTAGGGTATTGTATCCATGTATACATGAATGAAAGTGGAACTACAACGCTAGCCATGGTGGTGCACCCTGTAATTCCAGCACTCTGGGAGGCCGAGCCAGGAGGATCACCAATTCAAGAGTAGCCTGGGCTACATAGCAAGTTCTAGGCTAGCCTGAGCTACAGAGGGAGACCCTGTGTCCAAAAAAGAGTGTATGAGGCTAACTACAGAGCTTATCTCAGGTAAAAGGCTGAGATTATTAGTGAGGGTTTAACAGTGACAGGGCCGTAGAAGACTGGGAGAGGAGGGCCCTTACAATTTTCACCAGTCCTCCAAAACCAACCCAAACAAAAAATAACCAGTAAGAATAATTTGTAAGTAATTTTTCTATTTCAATCACATAAACACAGCTTCAGGATAAGCTGCTTCATCCAACCAGAAAAATGTGGGAGACTGTCTCTACCCCTCAAGCTAAGTCAGAATTGATTTATGCTGCACGAACCACCTGCATTCTGCCCCTAGGGACAGTGGGGTCCTTATGGACAGGGCTACTGGTGTTCCTCCAGTGGTGGGGTTACTGCTAACAGGGACTGTCTGTGCCTTTTGCATGGGGTGGGGAAACTTCTCAATGTTGATAGCTGGGTGTGACATGTTGTCACGTGAGTTGTCAAAGGAGCAGCCAGTGTTTGGAGAGTTGGTTTCCAGGCTGGGACTTTCCAGAGCCCTCTGAGGAGGGTGCCAGAGCCAGGTCCTGGGCCCTGCAGGAGGAAACCTTTTGCCATGTCTCCCAGGAGCCATTTGGGGCAAGGTCCGGAATGAGAGGCTGTCACATCACTTTGACATACAACAGACACAGTTCATGTTTGTGATTATTACCTTGTGATACTTTCAAAACTTAGAAAGCAATCTCACCCCCCCCCACACACACATACCTGTTAAGTCAAAATGGGCTTCTGTTGGAGGAGAAGATGGGCAGGTAAGGCCTTCTGCTACCAGCAGTGATCAAGCCTCTTGGAAAATTCCTTGCACTGGAGGACACTGAGGTAAGTGCTTGCTCTTTGGGAAACTGTGAATGCCCATTTTAGCTACATTTCACCTGTCAGTAAGTCAGAGTAGAAAGTAAGTCTTGGGTTGTGACCCCAAATGTATACTTTCTGTCTCTCCTCACCCGGGAGACTCATTCATTCATTTGCACATCTGAACTTTGATACAACCTTAGCAATCATGCAGGTTCTCACTGCTACTACTTTACAAAGTTATAGGCTCATTAGTTCCACTTTCAAAAGACTATGATGAGATTAACATGGCACAATTTACAGTCCCCAGTTTATAGGTGTGCAAAATGAGGGGAATGGCCAACTATTCAGCCAGAAGGGGTTGGGCTGGGACTGGAACTCCAAGGTGGGGGCATACTCAGATTCCCCCTCTGTCCCATTGCTCTGCATCATTGCTATTTCCTTATTCTTCTAAAGATACCAGGAATTTTACCCTGCACCCTGACCATTTCTTCCTTATACCCTAAGAGATAGGTTTCTATCCCCACTGCCTTTAAATAAATGAAGAAATAGAAACACAAGCGAATGAAGTTACTCGGAGCCTCAGAACCTTAGAGCTGAAAGAGGCCTTCCAAATCACATGGTCCAGTCGCCTCATTTTACAGGTGAGAAGACACTTAAGAGATTAAATGGCACATCCAAGGTCACCAGGCTATTAAGTGGTGGTGATGGAATCTGGGCCTTCAGACCACTGGTCAAATGTTCTTTCCACTGACATTACCTTGTGTGCTGCATTCGCCAAGAAGACAGCAGCAAAGGTCGCACATAAGATCTGGACTTGTTAAACCACCTCAACCCATCCAACATTTATTGAGAATCACTTGCTGTATTCAGATCAGTTAGCTCAACCCCCAGCCAGAGCCAGCTGCACTTTCTCCCTGCTCGCACCTTTTTTTAACCTGAGGGACAATAGGGTTGAATTGCAATTTGCTTCAATAAAAATCCAGGTATAACAGCTTTGCCTTGTTTTCCAAAATCACATGGATCCAGTTTCCCAGCTCCTTCTCTCCCTTACCTAAAATTTTAAAAATTATACAATAAAGGTAATGAACTTAAGGTCTTCCTAGAGTTACCTCAGTTGCCATGGATGCAAGATTATTTAGCTAGTTAAGAAAGAAATCTTGGACTGGGATGTAGCTTGGTGGTACAGCGCTTGCCTAGCATGCTCGAGGCCCTGGGTTCGATCCCAGCACCAAAAAAGAAAAGAAAAAAAAAAAAAAGAAAGAAATCTCCATCTAACTTCATTTAGCCACATATTCCCACATTTATCTCCCAAGGGCTTGCAGCTGCCTAGTGGTTAAATATAGCATTTAAGCTGCCTAGTGGTGGTAAAGTTGGTAATTTGGTTAGTTATAAGGTATTTTACCAAGTAGTTACTTGACCTTGGAGAGAAAAATAGGGGAAAGGGAGGGACATTTGCTGATCTGTTATTGTCATTTATGACTCAGGACACCTTAACCATAGGCTCTACTTTCCCATAGTCTTCACTTTACAAATGAAGAAAGTGGGGCTCTAGTGAGTAAATAAGTTGGTCATGGCCACATGGCCCTCAAATAGCTTAGCCAAAATTTGATTCTGGCACTTGCTGGTTCCAAAAGCCTATTTTCCCCACAGTACCACACTTATCATGGCTTCTGTGGATTTGTTTTAACAGCTAAACTATGAACTGAATATAGAAGTGTTGGTTCCAATAGCAAAGACTAGAACTCCCGGTATCTATCCATCCAATGGGGACACAGCAAGCAGAATAAACAAGTTCCCATCTTGGGAATCTGGGAGCTTCTTAAAGCTATCAGTCAAAGCTTTGGAGGTTTTGGGTTTTTTGTTTTTTTTTTTTAAGTGAGTAGAAGGGGAGTTTCTGGCCAGTTTTTTGATGAAACTCATTTGGGTACATAAGAAATCTGAAAAGCAAGAATGTGTGTGGGTTGATGTGAGGATGAAATGAGATAATGTTGTGAAAACACTTGGTAACTTGGCAAGCACTAAGCAGACACAGGGCTTGTTTTTAGGGTATTTGGGGGAGAAGGGGGAGTTTAGCAGAGTTAATTGTATTCGCTTTGGGTTTTACTCATTTGAGACACAGACTGCCCCATTTCCTCCAGAGTCCCTTGACTGATGCTTCCAGCTTTTAAGTGGCAAGTACTGATGCTTTACCTGGTAGCCCCTGCTGTGATCCCAGTGGGTCAGTATCTCCCCTCACACCTCCACTAGTCTCTTCCAGGAAGTGCCTAGCTAGGTACTACTGGGCCTATGATGAATGAAGAGGCCTTAGTGTGTCAGTGTACCTGTCCACCTCAGCCATTAGGAAATGATTAGTCAACAACACAAAGCAACCCAAACCCACCAAACAAAATCTTCCAGTCTTTGACTTATTTTGCTGTTCATCCTCAAGCATGACCCTTGACCTCTCTCTCCCTCAGACTCCTAAAGCAATGAAAGCAGGCATTGGAAGTCTCTTTCTCAGGCTACTGATAAGTCTGAGAGAAGTTGCTTCTATAAATGCTCAGGGTCTCTACATCAGGACCCTGTAGCCCAACACAAAGCCCATGGGTCCTTCTGCCCTGTGCCATTTCAGGAGGTGCCTCCTTCCTTGCATCCAGAAACCCCTTGTCCCAAAGAAGCCTGGGATCTGGCTGCCCATAAACCCTTGCCTTCCCAAATATCAAAGAGACTCGGATCTGGCTTTTTCTTTATTTCTATCAAGGGGCCTTTGAATCAAAGGGATTTTTCTGAGAAAGAAAACTCTATGGAATCCTAAGGGTCCTGGCCCTAAAAGGAAACACTCCAACTGGAACCAGTTCAAGGCTCCCATGTCCAATTAAGTCCA